CCAGTATCGAATAATATGTCTGAACTTGCTCAGGAGTTCCCCCTTTAAAATTGCATATACGAAGCATTGGCAACCGGATTGCAGCCACCGGTCCTGGCTCAAACTCTCCATATGTTAAAGTAGCAAGCGCTGAGTCTAGCTTGAGGATATGCACTCCTTCAGTTCTTTTAATCCACGCAACATCCGGATCAGTGATGGGAATGGTAAAATTATACGAAAAATTCCTTCCTGTGAGACCATGAGTCAGATTCATCTCCGTCTTGATCTCGTTGGGCATCCAAACGGCACAGTTTTGCAAACCTAATGTCTTGGACAACTCTACCATTGTTGTGTACAAAATGTTATGCCTATCCAACAATTTACGAATCTCTTGAGTAAGCATGCGGACGTGCAAACCAGTTTCCCTCTGTTTCATTATAATACCGACTTCCTTACCAAGGTCCCAAGCCTTTTTCTTCAGCAACAATTCTCTCACCTTGACTTTGAGGAGCAGCGGAAAGAGTGTGAGAAGCGAAAGAGCAGTGGCACACGAGACTAACGCAGTGAGAATCTTGAACACGGTGAGAGCCAACATCAGTTGAAACGAATGAGGGCCATAGCTCCATCCATGGAGCAAATGGGTCAATCCACATAGCACGATGAAAGCGATGAACTGAAACAGCACCCATTTGAACGGCACATTAGAGCAGCTAACAAAGTAAAGCAACTCAATAGGGATAGAAAAGTATGCAACGGCAATCAAGAAATCACTAGCTCTTTGCGTCTCTAATATGCTCCCAATGCTCCAAAATCCCCCCTCATCGTCACAATTACACCTCGAAAGGCCCTTATCGGCACATGATACTGAAACCAACAGCCAAGAGATCAACAGCCCTAGAGCTAATGCTTTCAACATTGCATCCAAGTGAACTGGCTACCCTCTCATTCACTCGATTTACGCTATTTTGGAATACTTTAAATCATCTAATTCAAATAAACACAGTTCACTTGAGCTACAACCCTGTAATTCCAATCTTCAATTCTCTCAAAACCTGTAATGGAAAAAGACAATTCAATACTGTTGAAAAACAAGAAAAGCACACCAAAACATGATATATAATAGCATTGAATTAAAGATCTAACACTAAACATCTTAATTACAATATGAAAAACTGAAACCAACCCATTTTTTCCTAATAAAAACCCAGAAACGCAGCCTCAGAATCAAGCCCAAACAAGAAACAAAACAAAGCCCAGAATTTTAAGAACAGATACCACAACTTTACCTTAAACCAGAAGAAGCCATTCAAAGGAAGCACCTTTAGATCTTTAGAGTTCCCAGCACATTGCATGCGGTTTTCCAATGCATTAGTGCAAAGCAAAGAAGACATAAATTTGATGACACTCCAAAGCTTAAAGCATTTCACATTCCAATCTGAATCACCCCAAGGTCATAAATTTGGACAGGTCCAAAGAACCAAAGAAGTAAAAACAATTCCAAAAGGCTAAAGCTTTTCTTTATATAGCAAACAATCCGATTCCCTGTTTTTCTTTCAAACTTCAAACAAAAGCAACAAAGGAAAGAACCCCAAATCACGAAAACCAAAGCTTAAAGCATTATTTTTAGAAGAAATGAATGAGAAGAGAAGATTTTGGTTTTAAAAGGAAAGCGACTGTATGCATATATGTAACGTGTTGGCCTTTGGATTTGTAAGAATGTGGGAAAAAATCGAAAAAGGAGAGAGCGACAAAGAGGGGACCGGCCTCCTCCTTACATGAAGAGAACTTGGACTATATTTTGAACTGAAACGTCTTCTTCATATGGGGACTGCGTATGGTATCTAATATTTCATCATAATTTCAAGTTTAATTTATTGTAGAGAAAATCTATTATCTAACAAATACGTTATAGTTAACATTTTTTTATGGAGTAAGATTAGTTAGTCAATTGTGAGAAATTTATTGATTCAGATGGAAAGTTGTGATTGATTTGAAAATTATCAATAGTAACTGATTTTTCGTCAGAAAGGTAAGAGTAAGTGAAATGGCACTTATTAACGGGTACCTTTGAGTAGGGGGTGAATAAAGGAGGAGAAGACAAAAGAAAATGAAAATGAAAAAGAAAAAAAAAGATACATTTTAATCAATCTAATTGATTGTGTTATGCGTAAGATAATAATAACTATACGTAAGCTAATAGACCAAATAAATATGATAAGTCAAATTTTTAGATTTTGCATTTATAAGTTATTTTAAATATATTATTTCTTATCTTAAAATTTTGTTAACACACTGTAACTGCTATGAAAGATTATTAAGATCTCTGATAAAAGAAATTTATAGATTTCAATCTAAAACTTATAATACATAAATTGAAAATAAAATTAAAATATTAAAATATATTATTAAATTTAAATATAATATCTCAAATTTCCCTTCATGGCTACAATGGTTGAAACTTGGTCTCTTCACTCTTTCCAATTGTGATTGCTGAAATTTTCTCTCTTCTTCCAAAAATGGAAAGATGAGTTTTTCAAAACTGTCTCTATTATTTTTTGTGATATTTTAATGATTCAAGCAACTAAACACTTCACAGCCATAAGAAAGAAAACTTGAAATATGAATTTATTATTTCTTATATCCCGTTAAATTTATCTTTTTATTGATTTTTTTTCAATTATTTTAATTTTAATTCATTATTATTTTTAAAAAATTATCTATAAAAGTATAAAAAATATATGTTTTAAAAATCAGTCTCATCTAGTAATTTCATTTCTGAAAAGGTACTTTAAAAGTTCTTCAGCCGTGAAGCTTCCATTTCTATTCCAGTAGAATAATAGAGGAGAAGAAGTGTTGGTTATGATTGCTAACCGAACAGTAGAAGAAATTGATGGCGACAACAAAGGGGGTGAAGAAGAGGGATTGTGTACTTGAAGAAAAAACATTGAAAAAGGGAAATAAAATAGGCATAATAACAAAAATAGTCGTTAATATTTATCAAAATGTTCGTTTTAATTCTTATTTTTTTGAAGTATTTTGATTCAAGTGTTTTATCTTGAGGTAAAAACGTCTCTCTATAAATAGGAATCATTAGTTAATAAACTGTTAACGCTTTAAAATAAAGTATTTGTACCTTAAAATAAAATGTTATTGATAAAAATACACTCAAATAAAAGAATAAGAATTAAAATAATTATTTATTCAAATATTTAATATTTTTTAAAAATGAGATATTGGAAGGTAAAATATTTAAAAAAAACAGGGGCTAAAAGTGAGAAAAATTCCACTTTTTTTCTTATTAAAAATAAATAAATAAATAAAAATTAATATACTAAAAAGCCCTCAAGCTGGTACAACTTCTGTGGACCAAAACAATGTAGGAATAAAGAAACAAAGAGCACACTTTGTGGCTAATATTGCTTATTCAATGTTGTTTTTAACAAATTTCGTGATATGCTGGGGATCCAAATATTTGAATTAGTAATTCCGGACAAGAAAGGATTTGACGATGTTCAATGTTTATAACATAAATTATTAATATATAAACAATGATAATATTATGAATATTAAATATTAATAGTATTGTTCAATATATTGATCCCTCTTGATTTCCTGTAACTATGCATTAAGTTTCCTCGTAGAATTTCGAACCCATATCAACATATGTAATTTGGAGCTAAACTCATATTTTTTTCATGATATAAGTTCTTAAATTCTGTTCTTGCACATTACTACGGAAGATTTGTTTTTCTTTAAGAAAAAATTATGAAATATTATTATTGAACGATCAATTTACCCCTTAACAATAATCGGTATTATACCTCGAATGAGTGAGGTAATACTTTAAATTATGATATATATTATCAACCAACATCAATTTTAATAATGTTATCGTAGAACTCGTAAGGTGGTTTAAGTGATTAAAATGAATACCATTCTTTCTTAAGATCATAAGTTTGAGTAACCACGTTTGTAAGGTGTGTTGTCAATGGTATTTTTCACGTTTTTATTATAATACTCATTTTAAGTAAATTTTTAAATATTTTAGTTTATCTCTAAACTATGATTTTCAAAATTTTAGAGACGGATTCAAAATAAAAATGATACAATTAACTCATTAAAAATTTATAGCAAATCAAGAGCATCCCAGTCGAAGTTCCAAATCCGAATCTTCCTTGAAATCACTAACTACACCCATCTCCATGTCCAAAGTTTCATACTCATTGGTCTTCTTCTTCAATGACTTATTTTTACACCCATTATCTTTAATGGACCCATAAAAATAATAAGACAGTATTCGATTTTTAATGGGTATTAATTTTTTAATACGGTGAGATATTATAATTTTCTTTGTGTTTAATCGATTTTTGAATTTTAATTTTTTATTTGATTTAAATGTACATAAGTAAAATTGTCCCTTTTAAAGAGAAACTTAAAAAAAAAGTTAAAAATAGTAATTTTATGGATATTTGATAATACCTAGCTTAAAACATCTATGATTTCGTCTTTTAAAAATATTCTTTTCGAGATAAAATATTTTTCCAATGAAAAAAACTAATTCCACAAAAGTGTTCAATGAACTAAAGTATCTTTCATGCGATTTTAATCATATAAGACATGAGAATCAAGGATCCAAAGCACAAAACCAAAACAGAAATAGCCAGAGACAATATGGTAACCGAAATTGGAATCCGTCCTTGGTCCTTCCTGAAAATCATCCCATCGATCAGAGGATAATGCATCGTTAAGACATAAAACGAGATGAAAACATGTCCGAACATTGCGTCGAAACTTCCGTCGATAATCGTTCTCACAGCTCCGGCAACGAAACAAATAATGTTCAAGGTGACTAACGTAACCAATGGGACAAGAACAATGGTGGATGCCTGGAAATTGAACAACCCTTTTTGATAGAACATGATTTGTTCATCATCGGCAACTTTGTTTGTTGGGACGAAATTAGCTTCTTTCAGACCAAAACACTTCAAGACAGCGTTCATAGTACCGATGGTATATGATATAATTGCTTTCATGGTCCAAATCCTTTGTTCATCCCACCATGTCCTAATTGGATCGCCCGTCGATACAACTTCCTCCAAATGTTTCAATTGTGACATTGTAAAAATGTATGAAAACGCCATAAACCATGAACTTGAAGCCTGTTCAATTAAGAAAAATGATGAAATTTCAGAAAATTGCATCATACTTGCATGACTTTAGTTAGTTCAACATTTCGTTCGAGGGTTCAACCATATCCATCAACTCTAACCTAAATTTGTAAATGAAAATCGAAACTCGACCGATGATTTAATCATAAAAGTCAGTAACTTGAATCCAGCCAATCTAAGACCAAATTTAAACTGACCCGAACTTTAAATCGACTCATAATTGACATGATTCGAACTTGAAGCAATCCGAACTTGAAACAATCCGAACATAAAACAAACTGAACATAAAATGACTTGAATAGAACATTCCAAAATTATCCAAATTTGAAGGGATCAAAACTCAAAATGGTCCAACATTGTAACGTCCTGACTAGAAAAACAAGGATGGACCCAAGATGAAACCTTAACAAGGCAAATATAAAGGTATAATGCCAAAAAAAGTCCCTAACTGACTACATAATGACTTTGAATTCTATTTTCTTTTAAAGCATTTTGTCTTTCAATGTTTCATTTTAGGGCAAAACGCACTTATTTTGGAGCATGGACCTTTTGTTGACTAACAGTTTCCATCCACATATGAGTCTTTTGTCCAAAAATGAAACATTAGTGTCAAAGTACTCCAAAAAAGTAATAGGGACCAAAGTGAATGTTTGATAAAATGTTATGGACATTTTTGGCATTATGCCAAATATAGAAAGTAAAAAAATGGGATCAAGGTCTAATTTGCTTAATTATGAAATTGATAAGGGCCTAAGAAGTATTTAACCAAGAAAGGAGGTTGCCTTGATTTGCCTAATTTCAAATTAGCGGGGACTTAAGAATTATTTAAACTGAAGAATGAGGGTCCGGGGCATGAATTTTCCTAGTTATAAGGTTAAAGACCCAAAACGTACTGGACCCAAAAAATTATACACATAGTTTTGTCCCTATAGAAAAACCGAGCCTCAAACCCGTATGGATTCATGAACTCAAAACGAACCATACTTGAAATAATCCAAACTTAAGACTAACACAAAGTTGAAACGATCTTTGAGGAGGTCAATTTTCAAAGAGCAACGAGGAGAAGTATTCTTCCTGTTATATCCTCTCAATATTCATGGGCTAGAAGAATGTTATCAACAATAGATTTGCCCTTGATAAATGCATATTGGTTAAGAGTAATAAGGTCAGGGAGAAGTCTGGTCATTCTATTAACCAGGATTTTAGAAATGGCTTTATGCACCACCGAGCAACAAGAGATAGGTCTAAAGTCTTTGACCTTACTAGGATTAGGAATTTAGGGAATCAATGCTATTATGGTAGCATTAAAAGCAGGAAATAAGGACGATTCCCTGAAAAAATAATTTATGGCAGCAGAGGTATCTTCTCCAATAATAGGCCAAGCTTTTTTAAAGAATAGAGGGGTGTACCCATCTAGGCCAGGGGCTTTGTCATTACCTTGACAGAAGAACCCTTGTTTAATTTCATCATGGGAAATGTCTTTGATAAGATTAGCTGAGATATCAGCGGGCAGAGAAGATTGAAGAAGGTATTTGAGAATATTAGGATTAGAGAAATTAACCAGAGGATTAGGAGTTCCAATAGAATTTGTGAAGAAATTGATCACATCAGTTGACATGGCCTCAAAAGTTTCCAGTCTGTTCCCTTGATCATCAATAAGAAACCTAATGGTATCCCTTTTATTTTTAAGGGCAACAACATAATGAAAAAAATCGTTACATTTATCACCTTCTTGAATCCACTGAACTTTAGCTTTTTGCTTTAAGAACATAGCTTCAGCATCTTCAAGAGACTTTAGATCCTTTTGCAAGGGAATTTCCAGATCATAACCAACTTCACCCTTGAGGGTTTTAAGCTGATGTTGTTCCATTTCAGCTTTCTTAAGCTTAACCCGAGTGGAAAGGTCACTGTAGAAAGATTTGTTGAGGGCTTTTAGGTGAGTTTTAAGACGCTTGAGCTTAAAGAAAAGTTTTTGTATCGGGTTGCTTTTAGTTGGACTATGCCAAGAATGCTCAACAATATTAAGAAAATTTGAGTGATAGGCACAGAAGTTAAAAAAAACTTGAAGGGTTTTGGTCTATTAGCTTGCATTTCTTTGTGGATCCAGAGAAGAGCCAAGCAATTGTCTGAGATTCCAGGTGCAAGGAACTCAACATGGGAAGAATGAAAGGAATTAACCCAATGGTGATTAATGAGGACTCTATCAAGTTTTCTGGCAAGGAAAGAATTTTGTTGTTTGTTGCTCCAAGAAAAAGTTGGGCCAAAAAAGGGGTGGTCAAAAATATCAAGATCAGATATGACATCCTGAAAATCTCTTTTAATCTCATGGATTGAAACTAGCTATTCTACTGTAAGCTTCTCTATTTCCTTAAATGGGAGCCTTATTGGTTATTTTAAAGGAGCTAGGGGGTTAGACAATGGGATCCATTATCTCATTTCCTCTTTGTGCTTTCTATTAATGTTCTTTCAAAGCTTTTGAACTTGGCTGCCACTAAAGGTTTGATTGGTTATCATCCCAAATGAAAACGTATTGGTCTTACTCATCTTTCATTTGCTGATGATCTCTTAATCTTCTGCAAAGGCACTGTAGATTCTGTAATTGGGGTCACTTCTGTCCTTGATTCTTTTTATGAGATGTATGGCCTTAAATTAAACGCTTCCAAATGTGATATGTTTTCTGCTGGAATTTCTCATTCTACTCTTGAGGAATTGAAATTGATTACTGGTTTTAAATTAGGCAGTCTGCCTATTAGATATTTGGGCATTCCTTTGGTCACAAGGAAAATTTCAAAAAAGGATTGCTCTGCCCTTATTGACAACATTAAAGCTCGGTTGAATCATTGGTCAGGGAAGACTTTAAGTTATGTTGGTAGACTGGAACTTGTTCGAGCAGTCTTATTTAGTATCTCTAATTTTTGGTGTAGACAACTTTTCTTGCCTTACTCTGTCATTAAAAAGATAGAGCAGTTATGTTCAAGATTCTTTTGGAAAAGGGCTGATAAGTCAGCTACTAGTGCTAGAGTGAGCTGGCAAAAAGTCTGTCAACCTAAATCAAAGGGTGGTCTCGGCCTTAAGGACATGAAATCATGGAACAAAGCTTGCATGATGATTCTCATAAAGAAAATTCTGGCTAGTGAAGGTTCGTTGTGGGTGGTTTGGTTAAGGAGTTACATGTTCAATACTAACGAGTTCTGGACTGTTGCTGTTAAATCAAATATGAGTTGGAGCTTAAAACAGATCCTCAAATTGAGGACTGAAGCCTCCTTTATTTTTTCTTCTGATACTTCGAAAGTTAGTAATATCTGGAATGAGATTAGGGTGAAAAATCCTAAAGTTCAATGGCACTCTTTACTTTGGTTCCCTCTTCTCATACCTAAGCATAGCCTTATAGCTTGGATGGCTTTTCTTGACAGTCTTCCTACGAAAGAAAGGCTTCATAAAATGGGGATTGTTAATGACAACCACTGCATTTTTTGTGTTGCTGCAATGGAAACTAGAGACCACTTATTCTTCGAGTGCACAGTTGCTTCCTCTCTATGGTCTGCTATTTTTTCTCTCAATGGATTACGGTTTAGACATCCTTCTTGGGATGCACTCTTAGGTTGGGCTGCTACGTTTTGGAAGGGTAAATCCCTACTAACTACCATTATGAAAGTTTCTTCAAATGCCTTAATTTACACTATATAGAAGGAAAGAAACAAGAGGCTTTTCCAGAGTCATTCTTCTACTGTTGAAGAAATGTTCTATGCTATTAAGGAATTGGTTGGTCTTCATCTAAGGGGAAGAAATATTAGTAGATTAAACTATGTTAATATTACTCTTTGTAACCAATGAGGTATAGTTTGATGGCTTGATTGCCTTTTTGTTTTGGGTGATCTTTGTATATCTTATTCTATTGTTTTGTAGCAAAAAACTGCTCTTGGGTAATAAAATTTGATTATCCAAAAAAAAGTTGAAACGATCTGATTTCGAAACTAAAATGACCCAAAATTTTAAGAAACCCAAAGTGATTTCTTCTATATCAACTAGACCCAAACCTAGGTTTAAGCAAATGGACAAAATGAATGAAGTTGAAGCATTTGTTACCTTGGGGTACAGTGGAATGGCATGCAGGAGGCAAAGTTGAGGAACAGTAGCTAAACCTTGGGGTAAACATAACACATTCGTTGAAGCAAAGACATCCTCGAAGTCAACCTATAAACCAAAGGACACAGCCTCGAGAACGTGACTTGGAGAGCCCCACAGTTCCATCTCGCACCTTGCAACAATGTGTCGTTCAATTTCGTCGTAGCTGTTCCCAAGAATGCCGGTCTTGGGGGATTGTAGAATATAGATTTCCAGCCTTTGGAGTGCAAAGTGAAGCCCGTTAGATAATCTTCGATCACCGAGTTATACAAGAATCCCACCTGCTTTCCCCACTGAGATTCGTGCTCGTATTTGCAGGAGGCCAAGAATCTGGTTTCTTCGAGCAATCTGCTGGTAATGTCTGTGTTGTTGTTGTTTTTGTTGGCAGAGTTTAGTGATTTCACTAACTCATTTGACGGACCCAGATATTGTTTTAACAGGGTGAAGTCGGTGTCTGAGTTCACAAAAATCAATCCCAAAAAACTTATTATTCCAAGTTTATGTTGCACGATGAGACGTTTATTTTTAGACTTGGTATAATACCAAAAAAACATATCTCTAGCATTTGATGTTGTCATTTTTTGCATCTATTATTTTCTCTTGAAGTACTTTAATTTTTAATCAGAGATATTTTATCAAATGTTAGGGTGAAGTCAATTAACGATTTTTCATCTAATCAGAGATATTTTATCCCAAAATAAAGCGTTGAGGTTCAAAATACTTAAAAGAAAAATAAGAAACAAAGTGATTATTTTATCAAATGTTAGGATGAATTTTACCATTATACCAATTGATAATATAATTATGATACCTAAATCAAAATAAGTATTAAGCCCTTTTTCAAAAATAAATAAATAAACTTGACCTACCTTCTTGCACTATATCTCCATATAACGCCTTTCGTTTCATGTAAAAGCCAGTTCCGGACAACATTGGTCCCTGCAATCCATCCATACCATGCCACTTCACCTAACATTCAGACCCAAGAGATTTCCATTAAAACCAAATAAAAACATCATTTCATAACATAAACATGTCGAATATATTCGTATCTGATTGATGTAATCCATAATGAATATAGTTCGGGTGCATTTATTTTACCGAGAACACTGATCTCAATTTCCCATCGTAGATATCCATGTTGCTGAGATTATGAAACATTTGAGGGAACTGAACAAAAGCCAGATTGGGAGAGATTGCAGGGTCCAGATGGAAACACATTGCTTGTTTTGCGGATGATGGGTCATTGCAGCGCATGTCACAGTCTAAAACTAGTACGTATGGGGCGTTGCTTATCATGCTGGAGACCCTAAGCTGCAATGGAAGTGACCAACGTTAAAATGAAGAGGAAAATAATCAAGTTTTGAAGCTGAGATTTTACAATATCTCTGGGGTAATTACAAGAACATTAAGTGCTCCCGCTTTGAAATGGTGAGGGACCGAAGGCGTTTTCTCACGAGAAACATAGACAAGACGGGGCATCTTGGCTTCAATAGTGTCGGGTGAATTAAGGGATCCATCTTGTATCACCTAACAAAAAAGAGAAAAAAAGTTAATTTACGTGTCTCGGTATCAATATGAAAAATTTATTTTGTGTTCTTTTAAAAAACGAAATATCTTATTATTTTTTTAAACCAAATGATGTCGAAATACAATAAAAAAATACACAAATGTTATATATCATAACACATCATTACAAACAAGATGAATATTGAATATTAATATAATTAACACTGATAGTGTTGCAATCTTAAAGACTTTTAGAAGTTGTAAATTTAAGTGTGTGCTTAAGCTTGTAAAATTATATTAAATGGATATGTAATTAAAAAATTATTCGACTGAATATTAATTCAATTTATTTTAATATTTTAATCGGGTTTTAGTAGTTGCAAGTTTAAGTGGTTTTCTTGAGATAATATCATATTTGGTACTTTGATAAAATATATAGTGGATATATGTATTTTATTAAAAATGTTGAATATAACATTTGTACTGATAAAAAAACTTAATTGGTGAAATTTCATTTTATTTGTATTTTTCATATAATATTTTAATTTTCATGTCGATTTAGAGGTTTTCACATATCAATTTTTTATTCGATTGATTTTACGTTTAATAATGTTAAGCATGAGTATCGTAATAATATAAATAATAATAATTTTACATATTATATTAAATATTTTATCAAAATATAGGTATCATATAGAATATTCTCAGTATAGATATTTTATCAAGATACAAATATCATATTTACATATATCTCATTAAAAAAATTAAATATATATATATAATATTAAATATTTTACTAAAAATGTCTATCAAATACAATATTATCCCTAACCATCCGATCTAATTTTTTTCATTGAATTTTTTCATATGAATATGCTGTTAAAAGAAACACCTAAATATCTTAAAATTTACATAATATTAATTATTAATATCATAGCAATTTTTATATCTGAAATGATTTATAGAGAGAAATTTAGAAATTACCTCAACATGTGCAGGATGATTTTTACTATTGATTCCCCTAAGAATCTCACCATTGCTTTCTGCTTTCTTCACGTGCTCTTGCAGCAATTTGTATTTTAGCTGCACCATTAATTGTTTTAATTTGTTAACACAAATCTCAATTACTGTTAATCCATATAATTAAATGGTAAATCAAAAGATTCCACAACTGTGCAATGGATAAAATAATTAAATTTATAAATTTAAAAATAGTAATAATTTTATATTTAATAACTATATAAAATTAATTGATTTTAAATAAATTTGTATAAATATTTCACCAATAATATATAAAATAATTCGAACCTTGATTTTCTCTTTTTCATCTTCGTAACCTCGTCCGACAAAATCATCATCGTACCTCGAAAAAAAGAGTTTGGGGCATATGGTTTTTATCCCAAACCTCCGACAAAACGGAAGCCAGTACCGGGCGAAATCCCAAGCCTCTCTCATGGCATACAAAGTCAAAGCACAACCTCCATCGTCCGACACATAAACCGACAGCTTCTCCGTCGGATAATCCATCGCCATTGCTGATAACACCGTGTTCATCACCTCCAACGGCGGCTCCTTCTCCGGGTCCGCCGTCAATATAAACACATCGATTCCCGGCAGTTGGTCGATCTTTTTTTCTCGCAACAATCTTTCCGGGAACGTTTTCCGAGTAAAGGGTCGCCATAAATAAGCTTGGCCGAGCAGCCAAAGGAACGAAAGGATTAGCTCGGAGGCGAAGACTAGAAGGAGAGGGAACGAGGGTGTTGAGTGTAAGAAAGAAGAGACTCTGTAGAAAATCATGGAAGTTATAGCTATGGATTGGAGGACGGCGTAAGAACGGTTGATTACGGTGGACTTTTTCATGGGGTTGCAAAGATTGTAGGGTGGCGCCTCCATCTGCGGTGGTTTAGAATTACTACCAGGTGGCTGCTCAGTTATGTTTCACTCATCAGCTTCGGTATACTTAAATGTATATAAATAGCCTCAGCCTTTCGTAATATCTCATGTAATATAAAATTGAATAATGAATATTTTAGTTTATATTAAAAATATAAAATTAATAAAAGTTAAATTATAAAAGTATTTATAATGTATGTAGCCTCTCATTTTTCTTTTATAGTATCAGAAATATTTTACTAATTATTATTATAATTTTAAATAAAAAAAAATGTCTGTCTCTTTTTCCCATATGTATAGGGTAAGAGGGAGGTAAGATAGTAGGCTACCCCCAACACCAGGCTGAGAGCAGCTTCCGTAAGAGACCTCCGAATTATGAAATGCCCTCCGTGGGACTCGATCCCACGACCTCAAGGTTAAGAACCTTGTACTCTACCAACTGAGCTGGATGGTCATTTCTTAAATAAAAAAAAAATCTAAATTGTATAAAACTTTCAAAGTGCAACTTTTTCCTATAATATTTAAAAGCAACTTTTTATTATTATTATAAATTTTGCATATTATGTGATACTAATAATAAATATAATATGTTTGTGCTCACTTTTTTTTATTGAATCAAATTAAATTTGAATAATGTTAATAGTAATATTTATATTATATGATTGTAGGTGATTTATCTTTGTAAATTTAGATGAGAAATCATAATTAATGATTTATAGTAATTTTATAAACGTTGAGTATTATTTGATCAAGAAAATATAAAAAGTGTCTGAAATAAATCAAGAAGAAAAAGAAAAGAAAGTTTCTCTTTTTTTTTTAATTTTGACAGAGAAATCTATAATGATTTTTATTGTTAATATTAATTGTAGGTCAATAATTAATAGTTGTAGATTAAAATATCGAATAGATTTAATTATCAAATAATATATTGTATATCATGTGAATTATTATAGATCAGATTATATCACGATATTTTAAAAGTTTTAAAAAGTTTTAAAAATCATGGTACTTGAAAGAATGAAAATAAAAATATTACTTATAAAAAAATTAAAAAGGTAAAACATATAACAAAAAAAATACGCATCCAAAGTTGAATTTAACTCATTATTGAATATTTTATATTGATATTGATATTTATAATTTAGAATATATATTATAATTAATTAAAAATAAATTAAAGGAAGACAAAGTGAAACAAATAAAAGTAAAATTGGTGGACCACTAGGCTGAAACTTGAAAGATGACGTGTTTTGAGAGAAACGTGGCATGGTGCAGAGAGTGCTACATGAAACGAGGTGATTTGATCAAACTGACATTGTTTAATCGAATATTTATCTTTTTAGCACCGTTTGATATATATTTTTCGAAGTGATACCCTTTCGGCTGAGTTGGCGAAAGGCGCGTTTCCGGAGACGCGCCTTCACGGGATTTTGATGACTCGACTGCCACGTGTGGAAGGCGCATCCCCGGGGACGCGCCTTCCATTAAATGCCATAAATGCCCCCATCCGTTTTTCCTAACTACCTCTCCTCCTCCCCTATATAAACTCCCTCAACCCTCTCTCATTCTTCACATCAAAATTATATTCTCCTCTCTTATATAACTCAAATTCTCCAACTATTTGAGTTTTAAATTTGTTATTAGTGGTAAGAAATTTATTTTTATGTTAATATTTTTTTAAATAGTTATTATATTTTATATTAATATATTTATATAAATATTATTTTTTTATTAAAATAATATTTATATAATTATTATTTATTTAGAATTATTAATTTTTTTGTGCTAATTATATTGTTTTGTTTACAGTTATAATGGAAAACGAAATACTGCTGCGATTGGATATTGATCATATCTCCAGACATTTTAGCGATATGGTAATATTTTTTATAATTAATGTTAATATTTAATTTATTTTTATTTTAAAGTTATTATGAATTTATATTAATTTTAATTTTTTATAATGTATATTATTTAGGATATTGATTGTATTTTAGAGACTTTTATTAAAAATCTACGTATACCGACACCGGAACGTATTTTGCCATATTTGGCTTCTGCCGGGTTCGGGTATATTGCAACAATTATTGGCGGTTGTAAACTCGAACATGTCCTAATTTCTGCACTGATTGAGAGGTGGAGGCCCGAGACACACACTTTTCACCTTCCATGTGGAGAGACCACAATTACATTAGAGGATGTCTCTATACATCTGGGGCTTCCCGTCGACGGAAATATGATGTGTGGTATGGCGGATGGTGATTGGCAGTCAATGTGCATTGATTATCTTGGAGCTGCTCCGCCAAAGTTTAATGGAGGTAGAATAGCTTTATCTTGGTTGAAAGCTAATTTTGAGGTTTTAAATGAAAATGCTTCAGAGGATCAAGCAAAGGCATGTGCTCGGGCATATATTCTATGAATAATTGGAGGAATATTGATGCCCGACAAATCTCGCAACCAGGTGCATTGTATGTGGTTGCGGCATCTGATCGATTTTGATGAAGCTGGAAGATATAGTTGGGGCGCTGCAGTTTTGACATTTCTCTTTAGAGAAATGTGTCGGGCGACGAATTATAAGAAAACTGTTATCGGTGGATGTCTCCTGCTTCTACAATCATGGGCGTGGTTCCGCATGCCTTTCTTATGCCCGATCGTGAATGAACTATACGTATTCCCCTTATTGTTGAGGTAATTTTCGAACTAAATTTTGATTTAAATATTTTTAATTAAATAGGGTGATATTTAGTTTATATTATATTTCATAGGTGGTCGATGAAAAGAAAGAACCATAAAAGTATACCTACTGGTTAGAGGAAATTCGTTTACTTATTGATACGAAAGCTGGGTCTGAGGTATGTTTTTAAATCTATTTAAATATTAATATTTTAATTTAAAATGCTAGATATAATTAGAATATTTTATTTATTTGAATTGTATATTTATATTTCAGTTTCAGTGGATACCTTATTCGAGCGATGAAGTGAAGGCTTGCATCCCACCCCACCTTAATGGGTCATTAGAGGTATGGATATCGGTTATACCTCTTATATGTTATGCTATTATTGAGTGGCATCCAGTTGATCGCGTGCTCCGTCAGTATGGTTGTACGCAATATATTCCTGGAGCACCTAGGAATTTAGACGACGTGCATAACATAGATAGACAAGAAAAGAAAGAGGTTAACTGGGTGGTGAGACACAGAGATTGGATTACGCTTTGGGAGAACCGATATACATTGTTGGCCCCTCGACAATATTACGCTGAAACTGGTCATATGGATATGGATAACTATATGGACTGGTTTAATGAAAATGGGAAGCAGTTTCTACTTTCGGCGGAAGCACGAGGGGTTAACATTCCTAGGCGCCGAGAAAGACGTCAACCATCTCAATATCATCGTCCCCCGACGCGTGGACGGAGAGAAGGCACTACCGGTTCTGCATCAGTCCCACCACAACATCCTTATCCGTCGATGCCGCAGGGGTACATGCCCAGCCCTCCACTTCATATGCCAAGCCCACCAGTTCATATGCCATCTCCGCAGGGTTACATTCCGAGCCCGCAGGGTTACATTCCTAGCCCGCCAGGTTACATTCCGAGCCCGCAGGGTTATATTCCTAGCCCGCCAGGTTACATGCCTAGCCCGCAGGGTTTTATACCATATGGAGGTGCATATACGACTATGTTTAATGATCCAACATATGGTTCATATGCATCTTATTTGGCTGGTGGTGCTTCTCCGCAGACACCTCAATCTCCATCTGGATCACAGACATCGATGCCAATGTTTCCACAGTTTTCACAGTTCCCGGGGAGCGGTGGGATTGTTACTAGCACTCCTCCAGGGTCGTTATTTTATACAGGCCCTTCAGACCCTTCAGCGTCATCTACACCAAATGAAGAAAATGCTGATGATGATGATAGTGAAGATGAGGAGACTGAAGAACAAGTTCTACGAAGAAATCCTCCACGAAATAGACAACCACCGCCATGTGGAACTCATTCGAGAAGATGACATCGGTGATCCAGTTGTATTTTAATGTTATTTAAATAGTTATATTTCAGAATTTTATGTAATTTGGCTATGTTATTTAAATGTTTCATGGTTGTTACATACATATTTTAAATGTTATTTTTTATTCACATTTAACATTAAATGTTTGATAAATGTTTTTAAAATACAAATTATATTATTCGAAATTTAAAATAAAAATAAAAAATAATATTATTCGAAATTTAAAATTAAAATATAAATTATAGTATTCGAAATTTAACATTAAATTTTAACTTATACATATGATTTTATCATTAACTTATATATTAAAACGTATACATTAAAATCAACTTATCACTTCACATTTATTCGTAAAAACATCTCGATGCTCATTCCATACAATTTCAATGTCACAATCAACTTATCACTTCATATTTATTCAATTTATCCATAACATTTTATCTAATTTATTCAAACATCACATAACGTTTTAATTTAAGTTATGAACTTAAATTAATCTATATGTATAATTTATTCTTAACTTGCTGAACTTTTAAAAGAAGTTAAAATTTGGTTATAATTTACCTGATTTCACAATCCATCTAGTGTCCTCGAGGGACATGAGTGACATAATAGGGCAATGATAACATATTCTCTGACAAAATAATGGAAGGCGCCCCCCCGGGAACGCGCCTTCAAGTCCCCTGAGAAATAATAGGTACTGATATCAATAGTGTCCCCGAGGGACATGAGTGATATAATAGGGTAATGATAACATATTCTCTGAAAAAATAATGGAAGGCGCGCCCCCGAGAACGTGCCTTCAAGTCCCCTGAGAAATAATAGGTACTGATATGAATAGTGTCCCCGAGGGACATGAGTGATATAATAGGGCAATGATAACATATTCTCTGACAAAATAATGGAAGGCGCGTCCCCGAGAACGCGCCTTCAAGTCCCCTGAGAAATAATAGGTACTGATATGAATAGTGTCCCCGAGGGACATGACTGACATAATAGGGCAATGATAACATATTCTCTGACAAAATAATGGAAGGCGCGCCCCCGTGAACGTGCCTTCA